TTTTCATTGTAGAAGAATAAAATTAAATTTTAATAAAGTTAGAGACACGGTCTCACTATTAATATTCAAAAAAAAAAAAAAAAATACCAGCAATAAAATTATAGTGCTTGACAAAAGTTTTTCCATACCCATAACTCGGTACAGAGATAAGGTAGAGAAAAAATTTTTTTTATTTAAAAGTACATTAAAATATATAAAAATTAATATATCATATAATCGCTCTTTGCTTCAATTAGAGTTCCACATAATGCTTCATACTACTTACCAAATTAGCCATATATTCTTTTGGTAATTGATTCCATTCTTTTGTTATTTGTACTTTCAAAGTACTAAGTTTATTAATTTTTTTTTTGCCAGGTTCATTTTCATAAGCCTTTAGATATTTTCAATCGGGTTTTGTTCAGGTGATATCAACGGCCAGAGAAGAACTTCAACTTTATTTTCCTCCTTTCATGTCTTTGCAATTTTTGAACTATGCTTCAAGTCATTGTTCTCCTGCAAAATTCAACTATCACAACTTTCACCAAAAAGGTCCACAGCAAAAGGTAGAAAGGCTATTTTATACAGAGTGGTTATATATTGTGCATTAAAGTTATGCGTAAAGCAGATCAACCTTCTAAAGCCGGAAGAAAAAAAACACCCCATATATGAATCTTCAACGAATACTTGCCGGAACGGATTATTTTCCTTGTTTCAATGAACTGCCATGTCTTTTTTAACTGCTGATTCAAGCGGAAGATGCTTTTGTCAGTAAATATCACAGAATTCTAGTCAAAATCCTTATGTTTCTTCGCCCACAAGAGCTATTTTTTCTAATGCTTCTCTCTAAGCAAAAGCTTCATGAGTTTTTCGTAATAATGAGCTCTACCTTCACCAAGGTAGCATTGAATAGTACGTATGTGAATGTCTATATTCTGTTTTAGAAGCTTACAGCAGATTTCTGGTGCTGAGATATCTATATTCTCTTTTGCTAACTTCAAAATCTGGTTGTCTTGTCTTTGCATGGTGGCCCTTTGACGACCTGATCTTGGTTTGTCAATTAAGTCTTTATTTTCTTGCCATCTTTTTGCCTATTCTCACATTGTTTTTTCATTACAGTGAACCTCCTTCACTATCTCACACATTGAGAGCTTGGGGCCCTTTGGGTGGCTAATTAAAAATGCGATTTCATATTGCTTATGTAAAGGAAGAGGCATATTTTTGATTGAAAATTGGTGTATAAAAAGCATGAATATTTTTACTATATATAGTATCTGAAGAAATTTAGTACAATCTGCATATGTGATATACTATGCTCTGTATGAAATTTCATGCTTCTAAACATGAATTTTTGGAAATTACAGGTGCAGGAAAACTTTTGTTGAGCACTATACAGTTGATAGCATAACTGGCCCAACTAGCCTTACAAGAATATAAAGCCTTTGTAAGATAATTCTTATAATCAGTATACTTATTAATAAGGAAAGTTTATTTAAATTTAAACTTATTATAACAAAGAGAATTATACATTTTTAAAAACTTGGAATGAAATAATTTAAATTGATCACATATCTTTCCTTTAAGTTTTTTTCTTAAGTTTAGATCAATATGAAATATACAATGAAGATACCATATTTTTGGATAATTATTTCAGATAGATAATATTAATACTGGATCAGTATCAGCATATAGAACTATTAAAGTTACATCACAAGAATTTTTTAATTCTTGAAGAACCTATATATATGTTGCTTCCATTTTATTTTCTAAAAGTACTGTAGCTACTATTAAATTCTGGAAGTTATTGTCAACAACTATAACTAACATTAAAATCATATTAAATTAGTTAGTTTTAGATATTGTATCAACTATTACGATATTATGATATCTTCTATAAGCAGTAACTTGATCAGAAAATATTCAGAATAGCAAATTTAACCTTCTTTCTTTAGATTCAAACTGTGACCTTACTATCTACCTTGTATTATCTTCCTTCTTTGAATATAACTTAGTGAGTATTTGACATGTATCATTTTTATCAAGTTTAGCTTGTCTTTTAAACTATTATATAGCATTACTTAAATCTTTTTTATTTATAACATTATATAGAAACAAGACAACTAACAGATTATACTAAGTTGCTATACCTATTTTTTCATAAATTGTTCAAAATTTAACTTTTTTTTGCATTTTATCTGTTAGTTTTCAGAACCTTGGTACCATTTCGGCTATAAGAGAGTTTATTTCGTGATTATGTTTACCAATTATGTTGTTAACTTAAACCCTATTAGCAGATTTAGAAAAAGAGAGAATAATATACCAAGAACATCTGATTATATCCAAATCTCGATCCCTTTTATCTTCTTCTAAAATTGCTTTTTGGGCTTCATATGTACTGGTATAAGAATATTTATATGTTCGCTATCTTGTAATAGTATTATTATTTGGATCTGCTACATACTTTCTTTTACGTAAAGTGAATCCTTGTTGTTTTGAATAATTATCAAGATATTTTTTAGCTATTTTCCATATATTGAATCTTATTTCTGTATTTAATACTAATGCTTCTGTCTGTTTCTCATCTTCACTATTATAATCTTTCTCATATAAAATATAATTCTTATTATAAATTTCTTCGCCTACATCATCAACAGTTCTTATATCTCTTCCTGCTAAAGCTTCATTATATATCTCTATATTCTTATATAAATCTTCACTATCTGTTTCTAAATGATATTAAAAATAAGAAAATTTGGATGGACTACTATTATAATTTCTTTCCATTATAAGAGTAAAAAAAAAAAAAAAATTTAATATAAGATAGGGGTGTTTTTATATAGTCAATACCAAAGGTTATAATATAATATGAATAAAATTAATTTTATTTAAAAATTTCTAAAAACATAAATTGCATTTATATATGAGAAAATAATACTGAGTTATATAAAATAGAAATAGAATTTTATTTAAAAGATCGACTTAATGTTCTTTTATTTAGTTACAAAGATAAATTATCACTTTTTTATAGATTTTATCAAGTAACATTTAACGTATTCTAACATATCAATGCTTTCTATCTATATAGTAAATCACACAAAAGGTTTTGATATTTTTAATATAAATTTTCTATTTTATTCAATTACCAACTGTAATACTCTTTTTTTTTATTAACAGCTAAGGGGGCTTCCAAAAATTAGCTGATTTTGGGGTGAGTGGGTAGATTAGCCAGTATGTCAGATATAATTCTGGCCAGAATTATCAAGTTTCGGCCAAAATTAAAAAATATTTTTAAGCCAAATTATAAACTTGTTAATA